GATTGATAGAATGAAATCCAAGTGGCTGCCCTGGTCTGATTATTGGTCGTTTAGCAGTTAGTAAGACCTAAACTCATGCTTACAAAGATTTAAGTTAGAGCTAAATTTTGTTGCTTTCCTAAATCTGGGAGTTATTTGAATTCACACCCTCAATGAAGAGAGCTTTAAACTGCGTCTTTTCATTCAGTCCGATCAAAGTCCTGGGAGCTTGAAGGCAGAACTTAAAACCATACTCCCTCAACTAGAGGAGATGCGGAAGAGGAAATGTGACAGAAGGAATCAATTCCTCGAAGTTTTTGAACAAATACAGAGGATAAGAAGTGAGATTTATACATCCACAGAATATACTCCTTCCAACACAGCTGTGGATGAAACTGATTTGTCCTTAAGAAAGCTTGAAGAATTGCACAGAGAGCTGCATTCACTTCAAAAGGAAAAGGTATACAAATGTCTTGTACCGGTATCATGTACTATTATGTTCTTTTCTTTAAAGATTCTTCACTGACTTGCCTTTTTGTAATGTTTCCTTGTGTGCAGAGTGATCGCCTGAAGCAGGTTTTGGAACACATGAATACTTTGAATTCACTATGCTTGGTGCTTGGTATGGATTTCAAGCAAACAGTTAATGAGGTTCATCCCAGTTTAGGCGAATCTGAAGGAACGAAGAACATAAGTAATGATACTATTGAGCAGTTAGCAGCTGCAATACAAAAATGGCGGGAGGTCAAACTACAGAGGATGCAGCGGGTAAATAATGGTTTAATAATTAGTTTCCCATTAGTCTGAAACATTTTCTTTCAATTCTACAGAATTCCTTAACGTTTTAAACTGAACAGCTTCAAGATCTGGCAACTTCAATGTTGGAGCTATGGAATTTGATGGATACACCAGTTGCAGAGCAGCAGATGTTCCAGAATGTTACTTGTAACATAGCTGCTTCAGAACATGAGATCACAGAGCCCAACATGCTTTCTGTCGACTTCATTAATTATGTGAGTTGTAGAGATTTGAGAATAGGCATTTTGGCATTCTGTCATGCTATGTCTCTCTTTATTGAGTGGAAAGACTTGCTTTCAGAGTAAAAATGGAAAAAAATTATGCAGGTGGAGGCAGAGGTGTCTCGGTTGGAAGAGCTGAAAGCAAGCAAAATGATAGAGCTGGTCTTGAAAAAGAGGTCAGAGCTGGAGGAGATTTGTAGGAAGACACATATGATTCCAGAATCAGAGAGTGCAATGGAAATTGCTATTGCAGCTATTGAATCTGGTACTGGAATAGTATGAAATAAGACTATTATAAACAAGTATTTCAATCTTTCTATGTGCATCAAATTTTATGTGTCTTGTCTCTTTTTGCTTTGGCGAAGGTGCTGTGGACCCCGCCAGTGTGCTTGAACAAATTGAGCTTCAAATAGCAAAAGTGAAAGAGGAAGCGCTTAGTAGGAAAGAAATACTTGAAAAGGTTGAGAAGTGGATGTCTTCATGCGAAGAAGAATGCTGGCTTGAGGAGTATAACAGGGTTGGCTGTTTTCTCATCCTAGCACTTATTATCTGTCTGTTTTACATTAATTTCCTTGCTTAGATGTCAATTTTGGTGCTTTTTTAGGATGAAAACAGATATAATGCAGGAAGAGGTGCCCATCTTATACTGAAGCGTGCTGAGAAAGCTCGTGCTATGGTTAATAAACTTCCAGGTACAGAATGCATTATGTGAGCTAGCAGTCTCTGATTTGCAAAAAGCCTCAATCAAAGATATAAGCAGGACAAAGACCTTGGATATCAATTATGATGTCATATATCCATGGATGGTGATTTTAAAGATATTAAAATTTTGATTGCATGTTAATGTTACATTTCCTTCTGTGTGTCATGTTGGGTCAGCACTGGTGGAGGCATTGGCTTCCAGAACCACAGCATGGGAAGAAGAGAGAGGCATTGAGTTCACTTATGATGGTGTAAGTGCTTCCTTATTAGCTCCAATGATTCAAATTGGTTCCACCTTTTCGTATCTTTTAGGAAAACCTCTTTGAACTGTCATCTCTTTATCTGTTGTTGTCCAGATTCGTCTTCTTTCCATGCTTGAAGAGTATACTATTTTAAGGCAAGAAAAGGAGGAAGAACGCAAAAGGCAGAGGGTATGCACATTGTGTACCTCATCCATGCTTTTGTTATGGAATACATGGTCTATGCACCAACTTATATTTCGATATTTCAGGACCAGAAGAAACTTCAGGGACAGATAATAGCAGAACAGGAGGCTCTTTTTGGGTCTAAACCGAGCCCTATGAAGAATCAGAGTGGGAAAAAAGGTTCTAGGTTGTCCTGTGGCGGTGCAAGCAACAGAAGGCTTTCTTTAGGAGGACCAATGGTACAAACTCCTAAACCTGATATTCTTCCCTCCACAAAGGCTACTCCCAATGCACGTCATGTAAGGAAAAATGATCGTCTTCACCAAAATGACCAACTAAACCATCCCAGGGATGATGGAGTTGCAGCTTTATCAGCTGGTAATTTTCTTCGAATGATTGTCATACTACATTCATTTTTCCCCTGTTTGTTTGGTGTTTTTTTTTTGAGGGGGGGGGGAGGGTGCTGTTCTCCAAGCCCTTTGTAAATGTGCCCCCTTTGTAAATGTGCCGCTTTCTTTTTCAGTTAGAGACAATAACGAGTTTTAGAAGCACCTTTTCAGCACAAGCTTATAAATAACCACGAAAAATCTACTCATAATTTTTTTTGCCTTGTGCGGGTCGTTTTTAATTGAACTGCAGCACCTTTTGAGAGAGAATTTGCTATTAGAATGTGACACAATCTAAATATTTCCTCCGAGACTTGTGTACTGGGGGATAGATTTTAATTTATGAAGTGATTTGTGTAGGCAAGAGAAGAAAGAATAATTTGTATTGTGTCTGTGTCTTACAAGTATATGACACGATTAACTTGAATTCCAGATGTATATTGTTTCAATCCATTGCTTATCCCAATCCTTTTTGGTTCTTACTTTAACTCCTTTGGTTTAGGAAGGAGAGGTTTGGACATTGCTGGTCTCCCTGCAAAAAAGCACTCATTCAATGCAGTTAATGCACGTGAAGCAGAGTCAGCCATGATGCGCAAGCCCTTCTCGCCTATTTCCTCCACAGATTCATCAAAGTCCAATGCAACAACCATATTGGAAGACCTGAACAGAAAACATGAGATGTTGCAGAAAACACTTACCAATATCACTACACCACTAACTACTCCTTCCAAGGTAACATCTGCTGCGGATGAAGAAAACAGGACTCCTAAAACAATGGCAATTCCTCTGCCCTCTACACCCTCAACAGTATCAGTTGCAATGCAGACGGCCATGACTCCTGCTGCTCCTCCAGTCCTTTATGGTGCTCATCCAGTTGAAGAGATTGATGAAGAGATTGAGTACTCATTTGAGGAAAGAAGAGCTGGTTTTGTGCTTCCTAAAACCCATCTAAAGACCATGTTACAAGTTTGAAACCTCGAAACCTATACTGATTTTACGCTTTTGCCTTTTGTATTCTTTTAGATATTGGGATTTGTGATTGATAACTGATAAGTCAATTCTATTGGCTTCTTAATGTGTACATAGTCTACGAGTATTGAACGTGGGCTAGGATGTTAAAATTGTTCTTTTCTGATCAACGTGGGCTTCTCTTTTAAGTTCGAGTTCATTTATCAGTATATGCTGGTGTTATTTAAACCCAACTGAACTAGAGAACTAGTTGTTGGCAACTTGTGTTACCTGTAACAAAGAGAACTAGTGTTAAGTTCTCTTTTGTCAAGTTCTCTCTAAACAGCTTTTTTTGGATTCCATTTGGCTCATTTGTATTGAGTGTGAAAAATTCTCAAGGAGGTACAACAAAATGGGAGGATAGACCAACTAAAACAAGACCACCAAGTGATTTGTTAAAATGCAGCCAAAACTCTAAGATTAGGAATTATTTCATTTTCAAATTGCCCAAAACTCGGAATGAGTCAGTTTAAAGTTTAACTAAGTTTTTGGTCCAATTTATTTTATTTTTACAACATTTTGAACCGGAAATTTTGGTCCAGTAGTTTTTTTTTGGCTACTGGTCCAGTTAGGGTTTAGGGTTTGGCACAAGTTGCATTCCTCTGCCAAAAGTAGGGATTTTTTTTCCCACAAAAATTTTCAGCAGTGGCAAAACAGTAAATTTCAGAAAAATAAAAGGGCATCTAAAAACTTCTATGGTCAACTTTAATTTACCTAAAAAGACAAAGAACAGGTCAGAGATTGAAAAATTGGCATGGCTCCAACGTTAACTTTGCAGCTTTAAATAAACTAAACTGCAATTTAAAAATAAAAGGAATTTTCTTTTTTCCAAATTCTCTCATTTTTATATTCAAATTCACTTAACTTTGCCATTTGTTTAATTCCCAATTATTTTTTTTTTAATTGTCCAAGACGGACTTCAAACCATTTTGTTAACCAAAATTAAGACTTTGAATTTTGCAGTTTAAATATTAATTATTTACTAAATTCACAATATTTAATTAAATTCTATTTAATTTTTTCCCTATTTTTTCATGCTTTATTTTTCTTCTCTCCTGCTTTTCTGCAACACCCTAATTTCTCAATTCTTGTAGAAATTCTGAAACGAGAGAATTCAGATTTTTTTTTTTCATTTTCCAGAAACAGGGTATTACCATTGAAGCTCTGTGAATGCTTTGCAATGGTAGAGATCAAGCCCTAGTTCAGTATCTATTATAAGTGAGTAACTTTTGCGGCAGAAGTTGCTGTGTTCAGGTTTTGATTTCTGGGTTTGTTGAGTTTGAAGTGGGTTCATGTGATTTTTCTTGGGTTTCATTTGTGTATTTGTATTTTTCAAGAAATCTGATTTTTTTTTCCGAAATATTGTGTTGAAAGGTAATTATTTTCAGAGTTTTAAGTTCAAAAGGTGTGGGTTTTTTCATTCTCAGGTCTTAGATTTATAGTGTTTTTAGGGTTTTGGGTTTTTGTTTGTTGGTCTATGAATGGAGGGAAATTTAGGTATCAACAGTTTTGGAGTTACAGTTAAGGGTGATGAAGCTCCAGAGAGCTTCAGGGTGGCTGCAATGGGTGAAAATCTTGGTCAATTTGGCGGATCAACGGCTGCACCGACTCCGGCGCCACCGGTAAGCGCAGCGGTGCCAGTGCCGGGCAGGGAGGTGAAGAAAAAAAGGGGAAGGCCAAAGAAGTACGGACCAGATGGGTCACCCAACATAGCACTGTCACCAATGCCGATTTCGGCTTCGATTCCACTTACCGGTGATTTCTCAGCCTGGAAACACGGTCGGCCAATTGAGTCATTCAAGAAGAAACACAAATTGGAGGTTGTAAGTCCAGGTAATGATTGATTTCTGATCCTATCTATAAAAAGACGTATCTAAGTGCGGGAAGGGTTAGATGGACGCAGTCTTACCGAAAGACTTTTTCTGTGATCCTTATCTGTACATTTTGAATTGCTCTTAATTTTCGTTTTATTAACTGTTTCATTAAGATCATGATATGTTACCCTAATTAGAGTGTGGTGGTACCAAATTTGAGTGAAGTTCTGATATGATTAATTATGGATTTTTTTTTTGTTTGATAGAACATTATTTATGGAATAAACCTTCAGACATGTTTGACAACTAGATCTACTGGTCTGGTTTTGGTTGCCCCGGGTCACCGGTTGCGTCTTTTTTTGAATACTATGGTTAAATTTGCATGTTATATTAGATGTATTTAGTGTGAAATTGGGACCCTTGTTGTCCCAGATACCCTTCTAAATCTGGAGTTTTTGGCAGTTAAAATTACTGCTTAAAATGGGGGAATTTTATCATAGTGCTATAGAGAAAGGGAATCTCTCTCTTGGATCCAAAGTTTCTCACCTTCTGTGCAAGAGAAATAGCAAAGATGCCCAGGGCTTATCGATAGTCAGATTTGTTGTAAGAACCAGTTCCTTTTGTTTGGTGATGTTTTAGAAACTGTTGTGATCGGATAAAAACTATCCTTATTCAATAATTGTGATAATAATAGAGAACTTGAGAGAATAATGATGAGGAAATGATTTAACAAGTGTGGATCTGGTAGAATATTCCGCTACAGTGAACGGATAGAATTGATGCTAAGTTTGAATAGCTGTTATATTCAGTGGCATTTTTTTATTTATATAAAGTCATTGTTTTCCTATGTGGTATAAAGGACACACTAGTAAACCCTGAACAAGCTAGTATAGTGCTTCAAAAGATCTTATACTAAATGGAACACGTTGTCCCTCTTTTAACTGCATTTTTTAAGAAAGGCGTGGCTGTAGAAGCATTGGAAGAGTATAAAATATTTTTAGTTTTGAGCGTGAACGTGAACATTGGCTCAACCATTTAAACGCCTCTATGCTTGTGCTGTTGTTTGAGTTAGTTACCACTAGTCAAAATTTGTGGGTTTGTGTCATGACTCATGAGACTGTTGTTGATATCCATAAGGATTTAAACGTCTTTTCTGTCAAAGTTTGAAATTTGTTTCAGCAACTCATTAAACAAATTATTTTGTAGGTGACCGGGTAGCATACTCTATTGGTGCAAATTTCACGCCCCATGTGATCACTGTTAACGCTGGCGAGGTACTTCTACATGTCAGAGAAAATCAATATTTTTTTTAAATCTCATCATTATCAGACCCTTATCACATATGTTGAGATGTAAATATCTAAAAATATTCTGTTCTGTTTTTTTTTTGAATTTTTTTGTAACTCCAAATGCTGCCCTGTATCAACTGAATCTTTTGCTAGATGAGAAATTTGCTCAATAAATAAAAAGTTCAAGGTTTGCTTCTTTATGTTATAGGTTAATGCGTTCTAGTATAGGAAACCATCCACATGGGTATAGAGGTGCTACGTTGAAATATTGACTTGGGGCACCGGTAAACTGTCTCAATGCTTTCTTAGAAGTAGAAATATAATGCAGCTTTGAGAAAATACAGTACTCTGATGTTGAGGAATTGAGAAACAGAGATATCATGTAGCTTTGAGAAAAATTGCTACCTATAGATAGAAGATATCAAGATGTCATCTGTTCTGGTGTCCATTGGGATAAAACTTTCGATTAGTTATGATTTGTCTGGATAGTTTTTCTTAGAGCTAATGTGATGTAGATCGTATTAGGGAAGAATTAAGGATAAGAAAGGGAAGAAAAAGGGATGAAAAGAGAAGAAGAGGAGGATGAGAAAAGAGAGAGAATTTGAGAAGGAAGCAAAATATTCAATACCAGTCGTTAATAATAATCAAAAGTTCCATAACAAATATGTATCCCCTATATATATAAGGAGTTCACAAATCCTATATATATAAGGAGATCACAAACCCTAAAATAAATAAATAGTCAAAATAACAACTAAGTCCCTGAAAAATAAAATGACAAATAAATCTTCAAAAGTTAAAAGAAATTACTTAAAATATAAATATTAAAAATATTTAAATAATTATAATAATTAATCGATAATATCTATCCAATTCCTACATGATTCCCATCATTCTCCTCCGATTGAGAAAAACTCTCCTCCGGAGAGTCTTCAAAGCAGAAGTACCTTAAGAGAGCAGCGTGAAGATGACAGAACCCCTCATCTAGAATGAAAGAACCATCAACATCTTTCCATTGATCAGAATAAATACAAAAATCTCTATCTGTAGCAATATAAATTTGGTCACGTAGCACATCATCTATTTGGCCCAAAATATGTGTTAGAAGTGGAAAGATAAGAACTGGAGCTAATGTTGAGGAAGAAACAATTTCAACTATAGAAACACTGGATAACAAAATAGGAGGTTCTGCAGTACCTCGATTAAGTAGCATGTCCTCCAAATAAAAATCTGGACTAATATTAACATTTAACGGAAAATTAAGCAAATAAGCATTAGATTCAAACTCAAGAATAACAAAACAATTCCCATTAGATTTAAACAACAGACATTCAATGGGACAAAACATCAATGACTAAGGAGTAAGTATAACACCCTGGTGTTGAAAATAAGAAAGTACAGACTCAATTGGAAACTTGACAGTAGGCAAAGAAACAAAGTTAACACTCTCAAGTGGGGCAGAATTCAAAACAATGTCAACAATCTCAGATGGAGAAGAATTCAGAAAAAAATCAACAATCTTATATGAAAAAGAATCCACAACAATGTCATCACGATTCGGAATAGCAGACACAGAATAATCACCAGCAGATTCTAAAATAGGTAGCTCAATATGTTCAACATCTAGCATAGAAATCAACTAAATGGATTTTTTCTCAAGTTCAATGATTAGTGATGATTCAACTTTTGGCTCCGATAAGGTAGTAAATATGATAGGATCAAAAATAATCTCATCACTAGTTTTAATGTTCCAAATGATTGAAAGAATCTTTGGAATGATGGAAAGCATGACGGTTCAATGGCACAAAAATATGACTTCATTATGCGGGTGTCCGACACATGGTTGTCACAATTTACTAAACCCTTAACGACCCATGATCTGGGTACATCGATCCAAAACGTGGTGGGTTTGCGATCTAGATCACTAAAATTGACGACCCCAAATTATAATACTAATCCTAAATCAATTCGCTTTAGAACATCTAACACAAATATAAAATATATATTAATTGACTACATGTATATAGATTTATAATTATATATTGTTTTAGATAATAGAAAATCAAGCACAATTATAAGATAAATGGTAACTAACTTAGTGTTTATGAATGTTTTGTAATATATAATGTTGTATAGTAGTGAAAATGATCTACATAAGAGTTCCAAAACGAATTGCGATTCAAACTACCGTACCAACTAAACCTACCCCTATTGTACCACGTATCTAAGAAAGTGTCATATCATGTACCCATACCTGTATTACGTACCAAAGCGACTCATGATCCAGGTAACATTGGTCCGACATTAGGTGAAATTGGAGACTTGTCCTTATTTTCTTCCATTTGTAGACTACAAGAATTTTATTCAAGTGAGAAAGTTGACTTATTAATTCAAATAATTGGTTTTTCATCCGTTTACATTCTTCACGTAATTGGCGAGTGAATGTTTAGTATTAGCAACTCCAATTTCAAAGATTTCAACCTTTTTTTCTAGGGCAGTTTGGGCTTTTGAATGGTCACTAATGACATTGAAGATTGATCCAAATTGACCTTGATGATGACTTTGGGAAGCATAACGTTGGTAATTGTTATGTGACCTAAGTGTCCAGAGTAGTATTTTAGATAATCTTCATAATAAAACTCAGATTTACTATGAACTTTATGATGACTACGAGAAACTTTAGGAGTATAATAGGTATAGTGATGACGTTGTGGAGAACTGTGAACTTGAGACATTCTTGATGTTGGATAAATATATAAATAGTCATCATAATAATCATATGAACTCATGATTGACTTTGAAAGATGAGAATAACATAAGAATGAGTTCAAGAATGCAATTGATAATTACGAGAAGTGAGAAAACTTAAATAGAAGAAAATATGTTTTGGACCCTTTGCAAATTTTCTAATTTTTCAATGAATGAAAAATATTAGTCTCAAAATTTCTATGAGAGTATGCATACCCTAATAAAGAGGAAATTCTAAAACTTTTTGGGATGAATCTGCAATTTTATAGATCTGTTGAAAATGTTTTTGCAATTTTGAAACTTTTGGGGGGAGATTTTGCAATTTCTGAAACTTTTGAAACTTTCTGGAGTGTTTTTGTATTTTCTACAACAGCTAGCATGTTGCTGCAATTTTCAAGACTGCAGTTATGTTTTTTTTTTTCACTTCTTATGGTATGAACATTGTTTTCGATGAACAGTGAACAGTGTGCGATAAACAGTGCACGATGAATAATATTTTTTTTTATACGAATTGAAGTTGGGCTCTGATACCAAATTGATGTAGATCGTATTAAAGAAGAATTAGGGAAGAAGAAGAAGGGGATGAGAAAAGAGAGAGAATTTGAGAATGAATCAAAGTATACAATACCAGTCGTTAATAATAATCAAAAGTATCCCACAATAAGTATGTATCCCTTATATATATAAGGAGTTCACAAATCCTATATATATAAGGAGATCACAAACCTTAAAATAAATAAATAATCAAAATGACAACTAAGTCCTTGAAAAATAAAATGACAAATAAACCCTCAAAAGTTAAAAGAAATTACTTAAAAGATAAATATTTAAAGTATATCTAAATAACTATAATAATTAATCTATAATATCTATCCAATTCCTACACGAACCCCATCATAATGCTCACAAATGTAACTGATAATGAAAGGGCTCAATTATAATTTCTCAAGCATAAGCATATATGTATACACCAATACATTGCAAACTGAATCCACCCTCCGGTACCCATGAATAACAAGACCAAATTGGGCAATTTGGTGATGGCCATTTTTAGAACATTGTACATGTGTGATCATAGTAAACTGTGTGTAAGGTTAAATGCTGTTCCCTGCTGGCTACCTTGTCTTTATCTCATGATTTGTGTTTGTCCTTAAGGATAAACTCAATCCACTTTTTCTTAATGTTTCTGTTGTAGTATTTTAATGGTTTCTGTTTGTGTCTTTATCAGGATGTTTCAATGAAAATCATGGCATTTTCTCAACAAGGGTCCAGAGCTATTTGCGTTCTTTCAGCAAATGGTGCAATTTCAAATGTTACACTTCGTCAGCCTAATTCTTCTGGGGGTACTTTGACATATGAGGTGCGAACCTTTTCTTCTTTTTTACTTCCATTCAATGTGCATCAGGGAGGTCAGTTATGTGCAGCATAGTGCCATGCTGTACCTATATTCAGTACTGTGAGGTACTTAAATTCACGGTGCAGACATGTTCTCTGGTATATGACCGAGGGTACTTGAAGATCATCTGAGGTGTGGAGTTCAAAGAAGGCTACAAGAAGGGCTGTTGTTCATTTCTCTTCTCATTATGTCTCTGAGGAGCATATTTTTTGGAAGGTCATCGACTACACTAGGAAATATCAAGGAAACTAGTCAATATAAATATTTTTTTTTTGCAAGGCCTGTGTTTATTTGTGCCTCGTATATGCCTTATGGCTAGAAATTTTTACTTTGTGATTAAAAACTGATAAGTCATTAAATTGTTAATATGCAATTTCAGTTGCTAATCCTTTGTACCCATTACATCAAAACCATGCCAGCAATTTTACTGACCATTTATTTGTATGTTGATCTTCTCTCTTGATATTTATAATGTGTTGGCTGGCAAGTCCTCCTTACGTTTTTGCTTGATTGTTGTTGTGGTTGGTTTGACAATTCCAATGGGAAATGCCATTGTCAGCTTGTTTTGTTAGCTTTTTTCCCATAAGCATTAATCTTTATAATTGACCTGATTTGAAGCGTAATCTATTACATTAGCCCATGATTTTCAGATACAACACACATGAGGCCCACCTTTTTTTAGAAGAGTTTCCTGTTTTGGAGATGGTTCTGCCTCAGAATTGTGATTGTTTGTCTTTTTGCAGGGTCGTTTTGAGATACTTTCTTTAACTGGATCATATATGCCAACTGATAATGGCGGAACAAAAGCAGATCTGGTGGGATGAGTGTCTCTTTGGCCGGCCCGGATGGCCGTGTTTTGGGGGGAGGACTTGCTGGCCTTCTAGTAGCTGCTGGTCCTGTTCAGGTTAGAATTTCTTCAAGCAAAAGAGAACGAAGAATAAAATAAGGTTCACTAATCCATGTAGTAATCTAATACTAGAAATTATTGGCGTTAATCTGTGGAACCAAGATGACGAGAGAGAGAGAGAGAGGTTAGTTTAAGATATTTTAGGTAGTCCATCACTTGTACTTGACCATGTTTATGCGTCTGCTATTTGAGTCCAGATGGCCATACTTTGCAGTTCTTCTTGTTAACTCCTTGATTGCACCAGGTTGTGCTTGGCAGCTTTCTTCCTGGTCACCAGCAGGAACAGAAGCCTAAGAAGCAGAGATTTGAGCACACAGCAGCTTTCACTCTTACCCCTGCTAATCGTCTATCTGAAGGAGGATCTGAGGGTGCATATAGTGGACCAAAGCCAACTTTCACTACTTCCTCGTCCTTCCATGAAGACAACCCAGCTTCATTGAATTCCATGAATGGTTCTAAGATTTCTGCTTCTGAAAACAACGTATCTTTGTCTGGAGGAGAACCTAAAGACCCCAGCCAGTGAGGTTTCTTGCTGATGCATATGCTCTGTATGATTTGTTGTACCTTAGCAGTTTCTAGCAGATTTGTGCCTT